AATTTCCTAAACACCTAACTAAGTAAAAGACATAATAATTGGGCTTAATTAAGACCCAACTCCCTAACTAAGTAAAATCAACAATACAATCAAATTCTGAAAAATTTTAGTGCAGGGCTGCAACATTGTGACCCAATTTTGGACTTGGAGATGCTCGAACTAGGCTTTTCTCCCAACAGAGAAGTTGTATATCTCTGTCTTATCTTTCCAGGGACACCAATTTTGTCCAATTCCGAGTAGTGTAGCTCCAGATATGATCTTTGCAAGAAATTGTGTCAAAATAAGAAATTATGGCAGGAATTAAGAAAGATTTATATTTAAATCCTAAATTACTTACTAACACAAATCTAAACTAACACATCAAAATAATGCACTAATAAAGTACAATTAAACCAAAAACATGGAGAGAAAGATGTACTAAAATATGACTATCATTGAGTAAAGATGAACTTATACCTTTACACATTGCAATGAACTAAGCATTGTATGTGACTCAAGATAGAAGCTTTAATCTAACTTTTTAATTGTGAACTTAATTCCTCACTGTTCTACGTAAATGGGGTTGATGAAAAGGAGTTCATTGTTGGAAAGTTGTGAACTTTCTTGAACTGGGGTTAAAATGCTTATTATGAATTGTCTAGGAATAGAAATTTATGATAATGTGGTCATATGGGTTTTATCCTTAATGCTGAATGTTTTTGGTGTACCTAAGGGATTAGGAGATTAAAATTCGTTTTAGAACCAATTACCAAGGGATTGGAGTTGGATAATTTAGACAACCTGACCATTAGATTGGCTATATTTTGAGTTACAAGTATATTTTAAGTAAGGGAGAAGGGATAAGGGATTCTAAACTCAACCCATTTATTAATCTTTGCAAAAACTCATTTTCTCTACTTGAGTTATTTACATTCTGCAGTCCTGTTAATTATTTTATGTATTAAGTTTTACTTTTGTCCATTTATTAATTGTAATTCCAGCACCTTTACTTTCAGTTTTACAATTCTGCTGTGTTTAATTTCGTACTACTATATATACCATGTTTTTGGTAACTCAACTAGTAATATTCTTGTGGTTTGATACTTAACACTTATCCTTGTGAACGATAATCTTTGTACCTTCAACGAATTGGTGCACTTGCCAAAAATTTTTATTAGCAACACTTCTCATACCGAAAGGACAAGCATTCTTGTTGCAAACTGTGTCGTTCATAGGTCCTTGCAACCTGCAACGGTTTATCTAGCGCCAAGGTGCTAGCGATGGTGGAACATTCATCGCATCTATGATCGTGATAAGTGTCAAAGAAATGATGAGAAAAATAATGATTTTAAATAATTATAAGAGTATTTATTATGTAAATTTATTATTTTTAGATTTAAATTATGTTAAATTTATAAAATCATCGATATATGCTCTCAAGTACCTGTAATTGTATAGTTAAGAAAATAGAGATCTAAACACTAACCTATATGTAATTAAACATTTACTTTTAATTCAAGTTTATTTATGTTAAATTGATTGCTTATCTTTGCTTGTAATGCCTCCATCAATTGGTCATTTATAATTAGGGATGGAAATAGACTAGGGTAGACTTTGTATAAATAGGTCTAGACTATTTAATAATTTTGAAGCTTAAGTCTTATGTATTATTTGTCATAGGTTTTTTATGAAGCTTAGCCTAACCTTTTTAAAAGCTTAATTTGGCTTATTAGCCTGTTTAAAGGCCTACTTCGTATTAAGATATTTAATAGATCATTAAACTTCCTTGTAATCAGACTACTAAATTATCTAAATAGATATATCTTTTTAAAAGTCATAAGGCTTATATCTAAATAAACTATTATAAAAATAACTCAACACCTTGAACACGTATGTATAATAAAATTACATATTTCTATTTATCACTTTCAAACCACATATTTAATTTAAATAAGTAAATCACTACAAATACAAAAAATAAAATAAAATGAATATTAATTCATAAATCATTAAGCAAATCTAGTAGCATAAAGTCTTACACATTAAATCAACAAATACAATATAACTAAATAAGTTTTAGACCTAAAATTAGCAAATAGAGGATGTTTTTTTGTCTCTTCCTCTTGATGATTGCATTCTCACTCTCTTGTGTGTTAGATTGTAGTTGACTTGAATTTAATGATGACTGATCATTCACAGATTCAAGAGCATCAGGAGTAGATGAAATTATTTTATTGCTTTCAATTGGAGTAGACATTTTGTTAACCTAAAAATAAAGAAAAGAGAAGGAAAAAATTAAAAATAATTAGTTACATATATATGATATAATATAAACAAGTGCACAAAATTGTAAGAAGATGATGGAATAGATGAGACGAACCAGCGATAGATGTAATCAAAACGATGCAATGTAAATCAGTGTTATACGTATAACATTTGCAAAAGATTCCAGCAAGTAGGGCTCTTTCACTTTGAGGGTATGTAGTATAGACTTTATTCAACTCTAACGAAAAGAATTAGGATTTTTAATTTAAGATTTTATTATTTTAAAATTTAACTGATTTAATTATTATTATATTATAATTTTTATATAAAATTATTTAATATATTATTATAAATTTTAAATAGACCATCCTGATAGGTCTAATAAACTTTTTCTTAAGCTCAAGTTTGGCCTATTTAATTAATTAAGCTTTTTAAAAAGTTTAAATTAAGCCTATTAATTAAATAGGTTAGGCTTTAAATAGGCTAGGACGTAGGCCCCTGTTGGATGGCCAAGCCTATTTCCATCCCTATTCATAATGGATCATAGATTTCTATTTGCAATTAGAAAATTAAGATAGAAGTTAGAAGTGAGATAAAGCAATATGACTGAAAACATCCTAAGAATAGAGGTCAACAATTAGGAGCTCCTGAACAGTTGACCTATAGAAGTGAATCAGGCAAGCTAATAGGTGCTTTACGGGAGAATGGGTTACTCCCATCTCTTGACATGCCTCATTCTTGTAGGAGGTTGTTCAATGTCTCGAGATGTAGGCTACACCGAACGGCAACTCTTGCCTACCTTTCAAGATGTAGAATGCTTTTACTAGAGTAAAAGTCCTTCAAGCTAAATACCGCCCATGAGTTCTCGTTAGTTAAGTGCTCTCTTAACTTCACTTGAGCGTCATACCAAGAAACACTCGTCCAAATACGCTCTTTTATGCTTTACAACATCCTTAAATGATGAAGTTCTATATTTTATCTCCATGTCACGCTCTATGCCTGTGAACTTAAGGAGTGTACTTGTGGAAAGTCTTTTTTAAGAATGGATCCTTCATTCTTCTTTCTTAATCTTTGGGGAGGTTATCCCACTTTTAAAGTACAAAACATGAAAGAGGCAAAATGTAACACCCTTTTTTTTTTACCATTATTTGATTAATTGTTGACTTTGAATTATTAATGGATGTTAGAATATGTTTTGAATTCAATTGATGAGTGTTTAATTAAGTTATGGTGTAGGGAGTCTCGTTTAGATGAGACAGATCTTGCTCAAGTGAGATTGGACGCCTAAAACCATATGATTTGAGAGCAATCTTACTCAAGCGAGATATGATAGACTTGACCCAACTGTCCTTTTGTAACATCCTTATTTTATTCAAAACAATATGAAAATAATTTCAGAGTTGAGAAAGAATAATTTAGTATAAATAAATTTTTACCATTTAGGGTTAGACACTTTTTGCAGAACCTTTTACATTTAGATACTTTGGCAGAGCTAGGTCAACCTTGGGTGACAGTCAAAGGTTTAACTTAGGGTTGATTTTCATTTCTTCTTGCTTTTCTTTGATTTTTATCTTGATGTTATTAATTTCTCTTGATTCTCATATTGTAATAGTGAAACTCATCCTTATGGAGGGCTAATTTTCTTGTAATCCCTAATGAGTTTATATGGATTCTTGAATTCCTGGGCCTTTAATGTTAATACGAACCTTTCTCCATGAATTTCTTTTCTCCTAATCTCTTGAACTAAGTTAAGAATTGAATGAGAGAGTGTTGCTTAATCAACTTCTAATTCATTTTTAATGGAGGTTCTGAACTTAGTTTGCTTAATTCTGGGTTTAATTCTAAGGTTGCTTAATCTTAAGGATTAGAGATTGGAGTCCATTGATTTACTTAATTTTGTAAAGGAATTTAGGGTTAATTTTCGCTTGTTAAATTAACCTAATTCAGGAAAAAGGGTAGAGTATTAAATCTTAAGAGAAATTGGGATAAAATCTATATAGATAAACTAGAGGTTACTATATTCTATTAATTGAACTTTACAATTTAATTTCCTGCTTAAGTAAATTAAACTTGAAATCACAAAAAACTGCATTTTTACTTGCTTTCTAAGTTAATGTTTATAACATGTTTAATATATGTTTCTCATCCAATGTCACTGGGAGACAATCTAGGTTAGCGCCCTATTAAATTTTCTGCATGTTTAGGAAACAGAAAATATATTTAGGAAATAAGTTTACTAATTCAGTATTTAAATGCTTTGTAAAGTTATATTTGCACTTGTTTCTTCTTGTCAAAATAAAGAGATATTTTTTTAGTTACTAAAATTGGTTAAGTCCAACTTTACTATAGTTTTTTGCGGACAATAAAGTAGAAGATACTCGATGTTTATTATATAAAATCAAAGCATGTTTTACAAATTAAAGAAATTTAAATCAATTTAATTTACCTAGTTCTCTTTATTTGCGGACTGAAATGTCAAATTTAAAATGGAAGAATACAATTACATTCTTTTGAAGCCGATCATTAGTAATTGCATTAGCTAGTTTGCTGATTTTAGCAACAAAATTGCAACTAATTCGATTTCTAAAACAATATCTCATAGCTTTTTTACTATTGATTAGAATTTTTATGATTAAATATCCAAAGAAAAGGGAGGCAAGGCAAGAGTATATAAAGATTGAAAATTTATATTGAGCAAACAAAAATATTACCACGAAAGTCACTGTGATGATTGGACAAAAAAAAGAACAAACCTTTTATGATTTCTTTCTTGTTGCATGATGAATAGTGCGGGACGTGTGATCTTTGCTGATAATTTTTACTAGGGGAACATTGTGAATGGCCGGGTGCTCTGGTCCTTCAATGGGAGCAATGTTAGTCTCAAATTCACCAGTCATCTGCGCTACTTCAAAAACTTGAAGTTCCTTTAAATGTTGGATGCCAGAGGGTACTGCATTAAGACTCGGCATATGTTTTAGCTTGAGGGATTTGAGAGAACTCAGTGCTCCTTTGTCGATATAGATGGAATTCAAGCTATACATGAATGAGAGTCTTAGATCCATTAATTTCGGAAACCCTCCATTTTGAAAATGCAAGCTTTCACAATTCGAAAATTCAAGCAGAAGGTATAACAAATTTGGCAAATCTTTTAGTGATTCAATTGTATCCTCAGTTAATAAGTGGAACTTCAAAGTACACTTAACAAGCTTTTGAAGCTTTGCAATCCACTCTGGCAACGTCTTAAAATGGGATAGGTTAAGCTTCCGAAGCATAAGTGGGGCTGTATTCAACTCCAAATTGAAGATTTCATCTTCATATTGTAACTCCACACTTTCTAAGTATTTCATCTTACTTATTGAGGACCATAGAGAGCTTTCATGTTTCTTCCTAACTCCTGTCAAGCCCAACTTCCTCATTTGCGTTAGCCTTCCCAATCCTCTAATTAGCTCTACATCATCATCATCATCATATAATTCAAGAACACTTAGCGTTTGTAGGGAGGTCATGCATCCGATACCAACTTTCAATTGAGTCAAACGCATAGAGCCGACTTCAAGATGTCGTAGCTTTCTGAGCTTGCTCATCTCTTCTGGAATCTCAACATCATAACATCCCCGTAGAACCAAGCTCTCCAAGTTCCTCAACTTAGCAATGGATTTTGGAATACTTTTTATCTGTGAATAATCACTAATCCTCAAATACTTCAAGTGGATTAAATTCCCAAAATTTTCAGGAAAATCAAACAAGTAAAAATCATCAAAATCAAGCACCTTCAGTAAATTGTATTTGGATAGTGTTGTCGCAAATTCCTGAGATTGATCTTCTTCGAAAACAAAAAGTGACCGAACGGGTGACCTTTCACTGCTACACGTTAAATCAATGAAACTGGTTTCTATTGACAGGCGTCGAGGTATGCCACTTAACGCTGACTCGTCATGTACGCCACCACAAAATCTCAAATCCTCGCATTTTTTAAGAATCATCTCATGTGTTAGGTCATGAACACGACAACCTCTAACTTTTCCATCAATGCTAAGTGAAGATACTTGCACCAAACTTCGATCGATCAATTCTTTTAAATATCCTTCTGCAACCTTCTCTAAGGTTTTCCCCTCTTCCTCCTTTACAAACCCTTCAGCTATCCATTGCTGAATCAATCTTTTTGATTTAATTTCATAGTCTTCAGGATATATTCCAAAATACAAAAGACATGACTTAAGATGGGGAGGCAAATCATAATAACTGAAACTCAAAATCTTTGTTATACTACCTAATTCATTTATCTGCATATTCTGACTAAACTCTTCCCACTCATCTACTCTACAACCTTTGCAAGATAAAAGACCAGCAATGACCACCAATGCTAATGGTAAACCTTCACATTTTTCAACAATCTCAGAAGATATCTGCTCTAATTCTGCTGGACAATACCCATTAAATTCAAATTGGAATGCCTTCTTGCAAAAGAGTTCCCATGACTGGGTTGGAGACAGAGGTTTTAATTCATGTATTTTAACAAAAGAAGATTTTTTACAACACTCAGCTACTTTCATGTCCCTGGTAGTCATAATTATCCTACTTCCATTTTGACTATCAAGAGTAGCAAATTCAATCTCATCCCAAAATTTTACAGCCCACACATCATCAAAGACAACCACGTACCTCTTTTGGCGTAAGTAGTTTCTCACTTCATCTATCAATGAATCTCCTTGCATTGTAGAAATAATCTGAGGAGGATCCACATTTTTTTGTTTGTAAAACTTCTGCAAAATGTCCCTCAACAGGCCATCTACAGTATAGGACTGAGACACTGTGGTCCATGCATAGCAATCAAAGAACCCAATCACCTCCTTCTTGTCAAACACTTTTTTGGCAAGAGTGGTCTTTCCCAGTCCTCCCATTCCTACCACAGAGATGACAGTGCGCTCTGCTCTTCCCTTTATCAACCAACCAACCAATTCATCTCTGGGTTCTTCAAAGCCCACAATTTGAGCTTCTTCCATGTAAAGGGGAGCCTTTCGAATCTTCTCCAAAGTCGTGGTTTGGTTTCCACCAGAGCTGCTTCGTTCTTTTTCTAGAAAAGGTTGGATTCTGAAGTCACTCTTTCTTTCACTGCTTTTGTTGAATGCGCGAACCCGTGATTTAACATCCTGAATCTTATGTGCTATTTGAAGACAAAGTATTAGAAATTGATACAAATTTCTAGAATAGTCTAGAAAAAATACTAAGAACAATCTAGGAAAAACTAATTGTATCTTCTAGTATGTAGATGCTTCTAGAGAAAGTTCTAGAATATTGTAAATCTTCAAGTTTCTAGATAGCTCTAGTATATTGACCCAAATGGTAGATGATGCCTATAAATAGGCATGCTACCTCATTGTAAATGCAATGAAGAAGAAGTAATCAAGACAACAATTCTCCATCTCTTGAGTCTCTTACTAAAACTTCTTCAACTACTATTTTCAACTATTCCTACTAACACATTTCAACTATCTTACTCATCTCACCCACACTAAAAACTATCACGAAGCATCAAGGTTTCGATGAGGTCAGCAGGATGACAAGGAAAAGCTGCACATCCAGGATCACGAGGCTCTTGTTCCTGATGTATCACATATTCATCAATTACATCTTCCATGCTAAAAGCTGCTTCTATCAGCAGCTTCACCTTTGCTTTAACTTCTACACGTGTGGTGTCGTCTCCAGCTGCCGCCACTCTATCTGCATCATGAATGATGGCTTGTATCCTTTCCAGTTCATTTTTCATGTCATCAACATCTTTTGGGACCCCCCTGATAATGTTGCCAACTTCCATCAAGAATGGAAACAAATAATCACGAGCCAAGGACAAAGCGGTTTCGGCCATTTGAGTCTAGTTAGATTTTATTTCTGCAATTGCTGTATGGTGAGATGCTATGAAACTTTATGTCCTTCAACATTTATATTCGGTGAAGTCCACTGTGAGAAGAGGACATTGAGTTTTCCATAGTCATTGTTTAATATTTATTCAGCATATTGTGTTTATATAATGTTTTAACTGTGGGACACAACATTTTTGTTCTTCAGGTGTCTAAGGGATAATGATTGTCATTGTTAAATTTTAAACAGCTGGAAGTAGGTGATATATATCCTTCAACTTTTATATAACAAAGTACACGGTGAGAACAAGACTTTGAATTTCTCTTGGTCATTGTTTGTTAATTATTTTTGCAATTTGGAATTTGCTAATGTATAATTGTGACTCAACATGTTCATTCTTCAATTGTATTAAGTGATCACGAAGGTGAAGAATGGTGATTTTTTAACATGGTGATTTCTAAAGATGAGGGTTTCCAACTATATCACATCAATGAAAAATAAATAAAAAGAATGATAGCTAGACAAAGATTTTAAAATTGTAGGCAACTAAAATGAAATATTTGTGCAGATGACTTAGACCTAAATGTGAATTAGAATAATATTTTCTTGCATTATTCAATATATACTGAGTAGCGAGTATTTGTGCAGATGACCAAAAGTTTAATTTATCTTATAAGTAAAATTCATATTTTAGACTTATGAATTAAAAAAATAAATATAAGAAGAGTTTTATTCTCTTAAATAAGTCTACTAACTTGAATTAATCAAAGCTTAAACTGATTATCAAATACCAAGACTCTCAAATTCAATTAAAAATGTCGCAATTTATATTAAGGTTTGTGATTGAATGGTGATAATGACGTTTAAAATTATGATTGAATGTAAACTATACAAACACCTCATCATTTACTAATACTACACTGCCTTAAAAGTATGTTTGGCCCAACAAAAGATAATAACAGTAAAATACGTAAACTTAACAACTACAATATAGATTGGAAAGGTATTTTAACTGCTAGACAATTGTTTAATAAAAATAGTTCTGTCTGGTAAAGTAATTAAAAAACGTAGCTATTATCAAATTTATTTAGTGCTGTTATAATTAACTAGTGTTTTTTCAAAAACTACTTTTTAGCTACTCGTTAAAAGTAACTTTTTGATGTTTTTTCTTATTATTTTTTAATAATTCTTCTTTTTATCTCTTCAACTTTAAAAATCTTATTACCTTCACTTTTTTATGTTCATATTTTACAACTACTTTTGTCATTAAATCTTATAAAATATAACTAAATCATTGAATTTTATTATAATTTTATGATATAAAAATCATCAAAATAATAATATCATTTAATTCATATTATCCAGTTTTATTTAATAAAAAATTCAAATGAGAGTAAAATTAAATTTTATAAACATTTTTATTTAAATCAGCTAGATTTTCTGCTTTCAAGTTTCTAACTTTAAGCTATATTATTCGCTATTTTTATCAAACGTATCCACAAAGTTGTAGAATTGTGACGTTTATTTGTTGTTTTTAATCTAATAATTATTTATTTTATTTGTAAAAGAGTTGCAATTTTATCCATGATTTTTTATATAATTTAATCAATAAATATTTTCAAATAATATTTTCATTTTCGTACAATGTAAATATCTAATCCTATAATTTTAAGTCAAATATTTGGATATTAATACATTTATAAGTAAAACAGTTCATCCTCATGTGAACCATATAATATAAGGAATGGTATTACATATAATCATAGTTACAAGGAATAATAAATTTTTTATAGTCAAACATATGAAAAAGATTTTAAAATATTGTGATTCAATGGTACCAACATTTTTTTTGTAATTTAAATATTAAATATTTTTATATAAAATATTATTTCTGTAAAATGTTAATATATAATCGGATAAATTAAGTTAAATATTTTAATGCTAAACATTCGAAATTATTGTATTAGTCCTAATCATTTCCAGGAACCACCTATATAGTTTTCTAAGTTAAAAAATAACCATAATAGTCTCTAACATATAGATTACTCAGTCATGTTGGTCCCTTGAACAACCAACTGTTAGTTGGATTATAAAAAACGCTCATTCGGAATGTTAAGTGTCATTTTGGTATTTCTTATTTTTCATTTCTTTCCTTTATCTTTTTTCCTCTTTATTATTAGTTTTCCTTCGGCAACTACCATTGGAGAGTGTGGAGAGGGACGCAAGGAACGAGATGTTAAATATTATGGATGATATAAAGAATAATAGAGGTTGGATAGTTTGGTTATGACCGAAAGGAACGAGGCTTATGAGGTTGGGGTTACATGAGATGAAGAAAAAGTTGAGATAGGGAGGTTAAGGGGAAATGTGATAAAGTTTAGTGAGGTTAAGGTTAAAAAGGTCGATGTTGTTAACCTGAGTTCCGTTGTCAGTGAATAAAGAGGGATAATAAGGGGTCACAAAAATTGGGGAGAAGCAGATAGCTCATGGATTGTGATGAATTTCATGTGTTTCAAATAATGATTTTGATGGAAATTCTAATGAGATGGTTGAAAATGGCTCAGATTGAGATGTCTTATAAAAAAGAATGCACTGTTCTATGGATGAGCCAGTACAGGCAGGATGAGCACTACAAGAATTTCACGGAATACAAATAGATTTTTAAAAGGTTATTGACAAATTTCAATTTCAATGTCATAATGAATTTATAGACAGATAAGACTCATTTATTTTTCTTCATCTATAAGTCATACAAATGGATTTTTACTCCTGTCTATAATTTATATAGTTTTATCGACAATTTACCATCTAAAAAGTTATGAATATGTTTATTTGTCTGTAATTTTTTTAAAAAATACCTTAATTTTTTATATTTAGACAAATTTTATCGTTTATAAAATTATATTTATTATTGACAAATTTTACTATCAGTTAAATTACAGATGGATTTGATCCTAAGTGATAAATATATTTATAACAATTTTTGTATATTTTATAAACAAATTTTATCATATGTAATTAATAAAAATTTGTTTTTAGTTTTTTGTTTGTTTTTTTTTCATATTATTTAATTTTATAATTATTACTCCCTATAGCTTATCATAATAATTGATAAATATAAAGAAAGTTATGAAATAACAATTTAAAATTCAACCATTTTATACACACAAAAAAATCATTAATTGTCTACATTATTGTTGCCTTCGTACTAAAATTTTGTTTCTTTGATAAGTCACAAGTTACTACACTTTCATACCAATTCTTTCAACTCATCAATTAAAGGTTGAAGGTATACATCAATTTTAACTTTTGAATTTTTTAAACCAGGAATTATATAAGTGAAGACAAAATATAAATTTTTCATGCACATTTCGGAAAGAAGATTATAAAAGTGTAACCATAACAGGCCAACAAGAATATAGCTTATTAAATGGATTGTTTGGAGTAAACCCATTAGTATACAGCTCTAACTTTACATTCTTAGGATTGAACATAAACTCAAGATACACTGATAACCATGTCGCTAAGATATCAAAAGTAACTAAATTCCTCACAAAAACATATAGTTTAGGGAGCAACCTAAGTCATCTCTCACAAGGATGCAAATACACATTGTTTCAATATCAATTATGCAGAAAACGTTTATGTTTGGGGGAGTTTTATGATTAAATGCAGAAGATTAAATTGCAAAGAATCAAACGCAGGGAATTAAATGCAGAGAATTAAACGCAAGGAATCAAACGTAAATTGTAATGCAAGTAATCAAATATGATCAATTTAAGAATTCAAACCGAGATCCAAAACACACAAATCCAAAATCGACAATGAAAACCGAATTGTTTAAATCTCTTCCGCACAACAAACAATTAATCAATTGCTTATTATACGATTAAGAACAATGTACAATTCAATCGAACAATGCTTTCTATGCAATCACAAAAGTGTGAGATCAGAAAACAAACTCGGAGCATCAAAAACGTCTTGAACAAATGCGATCTGGACTTTGGCAACGTAATTGGAGAAGTAACATGGAAGAAATCATCTGGAAATTGCAGAAATTTAATCGCCTTTCAACGTAATACGAATTCGGAATGGAAAAGTGCAAGAGAAGAAGAAAAAGAATGGGTAAAAAAAATGAAAGGTTCTATTGGAAGCGGAAAAGTATTACAAAAACTGAAAAATGAAAAAAATGAATTAAAGGTACTTCTAAATCAGCCCCTGGCCTCTATAAATAGTAGTCCTAAAAGAGCAAAACCGAATGGGCCAAGACTGGGCCGAAAATAAATACAACAAAACAGCAAAACAAAAGCTATACAAAAGTCAAACTAAAAGTCTAAACTTCTAAAATTCGTAGAAAATAGCTCCATACTTCAAATAGCATGATCCATGTCCAAATTGAAGCTCTAGAAGTAAGGAATCCAATGCAAAAAGAATGACCCAAAAAAGATATCTACAGAAAAAGTTATGGTCAAATTAGTAACTAAAGGTCAGAATAGAAAACATGAACAAAAGTATAGTATTTACGAAAATTCTTAATTAACATGATAAATGCAAAAACACATTAAATGGAAGAAATAAGGGAATGAAAAGACATATAAAGGATGCAATATGACTATAAATGTGGGAACAAAATATGAGCTATCATACACATGATCAAAATGTTGTTAAGCTTCATGGTGAGATGGATGAGTCATTACCTTATTGCTCTTCTTATTCTTACTACGCCACATCATGTGAAGAGCTGAGCTTAGAGACGTATACAACCCTTTTAGCTTAGGTAAAAGGCAATGATAGGATTTTTAGATTTAAGGTTCCAACAACTAAATTGAAAATTTTTAGAAATAATATATTTGCATCACCCAGTATCAAAGCTACACATACAAGTGTAGATATTTTGTCAAGCGTACCAAACTTTCATTTTAGTAAATGGTATGTGTTGTCGTATCCACAAGAAGTGGTAGATATATTTATAATCTCTACTATCCTAATTAAAATTCTTAATAACAA